GATTGGCTTGAGAGAGTCTGTACTTGGTCTTGGTTCCTGAAGCTAGTTGGGAACTTTACAGCGGTGCTGTGGCAGATTGCTGTTTCTGTGCAATGTAGATCGCTGGTTGCCACTGTGCTCTGTGTTTGGGTGAGGTGCTTGTGGGCTGGACTGAGTGGTGACCACTCTGGGTCTGTTCTCCCCGTCTCTGCCTCTGTTGATGCTATCCAGATCCGTGCTGTGGGTGTATTTCGCACCTGCCGAGGGGTGGGAGAGGGGTCTTTGCGCAGGTTCTGAGCTCTGAGGTTTCTGTCTCTGTTTGCACTCTTTGGGGCAGTATCATCTCCTTGGTAGTCTTCTACACTGGCATTTGCGGACAGACGCTAGTAGTTCTGGGGCTTCCCCCTGGGCCGTGAGGCCAATTGGTTTTGGTGGGATGGGGCAACACTGCTCTGGTGAGGGGTGGAGGAAGAGTCTGTGTAGGTTCCGGCCTCCGAGGTTTCTCTGTTTGCAATCAGTGGGTCTGGCACTGACACCTTGGGTGTCTTCTGCGCTGGCATTCTGCAGATGACCCACTGTGGCTCTGGGGTCTCCGGCAGCCTATGGTTTGGTGTGTTGCTGTGCAGCCAGCAAGGGTTGGGGGAAGGGTCTTTGGGCTTTTCCCTCCCTCCCTCCCTCCCTCCCTCCCTCCCTCCCTTCCTTCCTTCCTTCCTTCCTTCCTTCCCTCCTTCCCTCCTGTTTTTCTCTGGGTATTCATCTGTTTTGCTGTTGTCAGTCTCTTGGGGAAATTAAGCATTGGAACTTGAACTCTATATTTGGTTGGAGAGAGTTGTGGTGTTTCCCTACTGTCCCATCGCCATCTTGGCCCCCCTCCCTCCAAGTGGAAAGTTTTATAAGATAATTGGTCACATTTTTAAAACCTAGGGTTTAAAATATTAATGTTATTGGGCTGGGGATATAATTCAGGAGAATACCTGCCTAGCATGTGTTAGGTCCTGGGATTAAACCTCAACCCTGAAAAAAAAATTGGGAGATTTCTGTGAAGTGAAATATGAGGAAAAGATGTGAACATTTAGGAATTGATATATAAAGTTTACTATGAAAAATAAAATGAGTATTGTGTTAGTATATAATAGGATAGTTGTGTGTTTGTGTATGCATACACTGAAACTCGGGCTATAACTCTGCACCTCATTCTCTTTGCTCGGCTTTTCCCAGTCACAGCTAGAGCTTTACCACCTGGGGTACACCTAGTCCCAGCTGGTTGCTGGTTAATGGGAGATACTCTCTTGGATAATTCTGTCCAGGATGGCTTTGAACCTCTATCCTAAGATACCAACTTCTTGAGTACCTAGGATTTACAACTGTGAGTCACTAGTGGCTTGACCTGTTTTCATTTCTTATTAGTAAATGGAGGAGTAGAGTTATTTAATCTTAGGATAAACTTATGATTCATGTTTATAATTCATGCCTATTAGCTTTCTATGATTGGTGTACTATACTACATTTTGTGGTTTGCTTTTTTTTTTTAAGTGCCAGTTCTGGGGCTGAATTCAGGGCTTTGAGCTCTTGGCTTGCTTGCCCACAGCTGGTACTCTACCACTTGAGTCATGCTTCCTACTGGGCATTTTGCCAGTTAATTGGAAATAGAAACTCTAGGACTTTTCTTCTAGGGCTGGCTTTGAATTTCAATCTTCCAGGTCTCAGTTTCCTGAGCAACTAGGATTACAGGTATGAGTCCCTAGGATTGAACAAGAGACCACTTCGTTGTTTTATGTTGTGGTGGTTTTATAGTAGGTATGGTATTAGTTTGTGTTTCCCTGATAACTAGTGAAGGTTTAACATTTCTTCATATATTATTGGCCATTCATAGTTTGGAAAATACCTACTGAAGAAATTTTAAATCAAGTCTGAATGCTTTATAGAAATTCTGTAATCTGGATCTGAGTATATAATTTTGATTATTTTCCCTAGTCTGTATTTAGCTTTTTAATTTTTTCTTGATACATTTTTTGATGAAAAATGATTTTTAGTTTGGAAGCCCTGTTTATCCATGGTTTTATATTACAACTTTTTTTTGGGGGGGGGTCCGGTCGTAGGGCCTGAACTCTGGGCCTGGGTGCTGTCCCTCAGCTCTTCAGCTCAAGGCTAACACTCTACCACTTGAGCCACAGTGCCACTTCCAGCTTTTTTCTTTTTGCTTATGTGGTGCTGAGGAATCGAACCCAGGACCTCATGCGTGCAAGGCAAGTGCTCTACCACTGAGCCACCTTTCCAGCCCCTATATTACAACTTTTTAAAGAAACCTTGGATTACCTTTTACCTTGCCAAGACATCTTGTACTGTCTGTGAGTTGTTTTATACCTTTAACCTGTACATTTAAGTCACTAATCTGTTGAGGTATTGGACCTTTTATGTTAGATATAGTATGTAATTCCTTTTTTAAAAAAATAAAGCTGTGCAGTATTTATTGAAAAGATTGTTCTTTGAATTATGTTTACACCATTGTAAAAACATTAATTGACCATTTATGTACATGTGTTTGAATTATATTCCATTGATCTCTTTATACTTATCCAATACTGGGTTGTATTGATTTCTCTATATTTTAAAGTCTTAATCAGGTTGTGTAAATTCCTCCAACTTTTTCAAGGTTATTTTAACTGTTCTGGGTCTTTCATGCTTTCATATACATTTTACCACTTTATCAGAATCTACTTAAAAGTCCTGAGATTTTGATTGAAATATATGAATGTATGTCATTTGGAGAATTACCATATTAAACATTTTTCAGTCTTCTAACCTGGTTGTCAGCAAATGATGGCTCATGGTCCAGATTTGTCCCTGTGTCTATCTTTTTTAATAAAGTTTTATGGGGACATATCCCTGTGTCCCAATGTCCCATGTCATTATACATGGTAGCATACATGGCTACTTTCAGCTATAATGCAGAGTAATTGTGGTGGAGAGTATATTGTTTATAGATGTTAAACTATTTACTGTTTAGCCTTCAACATAAAACATTTCTCATACTTAAATTCTACCTAGTAGTTTTCTAGGTTTCACTAAGGGTGTGCCTTCTGTCTTTTGTTAAATTTGTTTTCTTCTGCTATTGCAAGTAGAATTTGATTTAACTTCACTTTCAACTTGTTTGTTACACTCTACCAAAGGACTGGATTACACTGATTTCAGATTGTTGAAACAACTCTGCATTCTCACTCTCACTTTTTTCTAGCAGACTGTCCTTTTGGGTATGTTGCTAGGATTTATTTTTAAGAGTTCTTTTTTTTTGGGGGGGGGTCCGGTTGTGGGGCCTGAACTCTGGGCCTGGGCGCTGTCCCTCAGCTCTTCAGCTCAAAGCTAGCGCTCTACCACTTGAGCCACAGCGCCACTTCCGGCTTTTTTCTTTTTGCTTATGTGGTGCTGAGGAATCGAACCCGGGGCCTCAGGCATGCAAGGCAAGCGCTCTACCACTGAGCCACCTTCCCAGCCCTAATTTTAAGAGTTCTTATAGCATTTGTGTTCATGATATAATATCTGTCTCTGTTTTCTTGTAATATACTTGTTACAGTCTGCTATCAGTTATGCTGGCTCCAAAAAAAATGGACAAAATATATCCTGATTTCTGTCTTGTCAAAGAGCTTGTTGCATAAAATTGGTATAGCTGGTTTGAGATAATAAGCATATGCATTACCTCATATGTTTGTGTGTGTGCTGAGAATACATGATTTTGATTCTTGAGCTCACCTTTCAGGATGAAAGACCTCTGAGAGCTAGAAGAGAAACAGGAAAGGGCTAAGCGGGGCTGATGGTATGGGTGGCCAAAGGGCCTGAGTGAGGGAGACACTGGGACTTTGTGGCAGGGGAGCATGTCCAGCCAGTGGAAACACTGAACTTACTAGCAGCCAGGCGCCAGATTACTTCTCAAGTTAAAAGAAGGTTCAGTAGCATTTCATTATAATTAAAGGAGACTTCAAGCAGCAGTCAAAAATTACAGAAAACCATGTCTGTCCTTAGAGTCATTTTTACACTATATCTGTTTGTTTTTAGTTCAGTGTAGTTTATCAAAAATTTTAGCCGGGTCTCAGTGGCTCATGCCTGTAATCCTAGCTACTCAAGAGGCTGTGATCTGAGGATCATGGTTCTAAACCATCCCAAGCAGGAAAGTCCATGAGACTCTTATCTCCAATAAACTACTCAGAAAAAGCCGGAAATGGTGCTGTGGCTCAGGTGGTAGAGTGCTAGCCCTGAGCTAATGAAGCTCAGGGAAAGCACCCAGACCCAGAGTTCAAGGACCAGGGTTAGGGAAAAAAAGACTTTAGACGATTTGTATAATTCCAGGTTACTAAATTCCAGGTGTGATTTTTACATTTTGTCCTGTGCTTTGAATAAGCTGTAATTTACCCCAAATTGTTCCTGCCTTTTACTCTACCCTAATTGAATATATAACTTGACTGGCTTCAAACTGCAGTTCTCAGATCTCAGCCGCCTGAGTAACTAGGATTACAGGCGTGAACCACTGGCACACAGCCAAACAGTGTTTAACCTTAGAAAAATAATTTCTGAAATTTTATGTTGTCTATTTTTAGAGACAAGGTCTGAATAGCCCAGGTTGGTCTCAAACTCAGGATCCTTCTGCCTCAGCCTCCTCACTTCTGGGGACTTTGTTAATAGGTGAACAGGAAGTATCATGTTGAAAGGAAATAACACTTAGGACTGTATTATGCAGGTATATAGTTAACTAGGACTTTGTTGAGTACTATTTGCCCATCCCTGTAATCTTAGCTACTCTTCAGGCTGAGATCTGAGGATCATGGCTAGAAATGCTCTTGGGTAGAAAAGGCCATGAGATGCTTATCTTCAGTTAAAAAAAATGTGGTGTGACTCAAGTGGTAGAGCATCAGCCTTGAGTGAAAAAGCTAAGCAAGAGCCCCCTGGCCCAGAGTACTGGGCATGCATGTACACAAACATACACACACAGAAAAGCAGAAAGCTAACTAGGAATTTACTTTCCTTTACAGCCTGAGAACCTAGACCATTGCTCCCTCCCTGAAGATCTGGTGAGTATTTCTGCTTGCTTAAACAAGTTCATTGTGCCTTCCACGATGGATAAGTAAAATGACAATAACATTTCATGTGTTTTTCTATTTGGTTGCTGCCAAAGACTTTAAATTTAACATGATAATTACATTATGAGAGTAGCATATTATGAATAATAAAAGTATTCAAGTGTTGAAAGGAAATAAAGAAGACACTCTTCTCCCTCTCCTTTGCAATGATCAGACTTGCTGAACTTGATTTTCAAGTTGACTTTGTGACCTTTTCTCTATATGAATCCTTCCAAGGAAAGGATAGCAGGGTCCTCATTTGATTGGCTTAGATTCCCCAGTCAGGGAGTCCTCTGTGCGTTCTCTCTTTAGGTAGTAGCATCAGCAGAGCCCTGCCCAGACTTAGAAGGCATGCATTATGTCTGGCTGGCAAAGCCTGGTCATATTGCAGATATCTTCAGGCACTTGGCTACCCAAGTTGGCTAACAACATGTACTATGTTAGCCAGTCCCAGTTTAAAATGGTTTTTAAAATTTCTCAGTTTTGAGTCTCAAAAATTCAGAGAGTTCTAAGTGCTTCCTTTGAGGTTCAGTGGTTTAGTAGTATTAATTGGGTTTGTAATGCCAAATTCAGGAACCAAAGGGAGAGCTGATATCTAGTAAATCTGTTTCTTGAATCCATTTTGTTTATAAAGGGATGGAGTGTGTGTGTGTGTGTACGTGCATGCATATATTTATATTTTATTAGTAATTTAATGGCCTGATGGCTTTTTGGGCTCAAGATTGGTAGAGTAAGATTATAGAAAGGAAATGTGACTTTAAATACAACTTTTAATATTGAGACCCTTTTTCATTCAGGAGAATCTGAACTTGAAGGCAGAGGTTATATATTCATGAGATAGATGAACCTAGAGCCCTGTGTATACTAGGCAAACTTTACCACTGAGCTACATCCCCAACCTAGGAAATTAAAACAAACACAAAACAATAATTAAAAAAAACATGAAAGTCCTTACATGTTCATGTGCTAGATATTTTTGGATTGGGATGAAAGAGTCTGGTACAGATTAGTCATCAAGCCATTGCACCTTCCTTCTATTCCTTACAGATTCTAAGGGTAGAGCGGTTTCTACAATTTTGAGTGTCTTGGCTTCTTAGAGTTACTATAACAAGTTACCCAACACTGGGTGGTTTAAACAACTGAAATGTTCCCTCATTGTAATGGAGACCAGTAGTCTGAAGTGTAGGCAGAGCCAGACTCCCTCTGAAGGTTGGCAGGAAGGTCCTGCCTTGCTGCTTTTGGCAGTTGCCAGCAGTCACTAGTGTTGACTTTGCCTAGAGATGCCAATCTCTTCCTGATCACCACAGTGTCTTTTTTCTGTGTTGTCTTCCCGCTCTCCCTGGGTCTATTCTGTATTAAGGACTCCAGGCACAGTGAATCCAGCACTTCTCTGTTCCATTATGACCTTATCATAGTTCACTACAGAGGCCAAACTCCAAATAAGGTCATGATCTGAGGTTCAGGGTGAATATGAACTTGGGAATAACACTAAGCCATCATATTTCATTAAATATGCTATAGAGTGGCATGCAAGGCAAGTAACAGCTTAAGTGTCTTGAAGGTGAGGGTGGGACTTTTGATGGCATGTTGACAAGTGTAGGCAGGTATCCAGGATTGAGACTCAAAGGAACAAGCAGTATTATCTGTCATAGTTTGTTATTCCTATGTGTGCAAAGATTGGGTTGCAGCACCCTCACATGGACTTTCAAGGAAGGAATGGGGTGGGGCGGGCAGTCACAGCAAAATGGTAGAATCCTCTGTTGAGACTTGTCTTGGTTTACCCACTGAGCTACGTGACCCAGGAAATGGAATAAGAACAGCTAGTTTTTTCTTTTGTGTGTGCCAGTACTGAAGCTTAATCTGAGGTATACTAGGGGGTGTCCCTTAGCTTTTTCATTCAAGGCTAGCACTCTACCACTTGAACTACAGCTTCACTTCCAACCTTTTGGTGGTTAATTGGCTGATAGTCTCATGGACTTTCATGCCCAGGATGGCTTAGGACCACTATCCTCAGATCTCAGCCTCCTGAATACCTTGGATTATAGAGCTCCAGTGATCTGTCTACATAATCCAGTCCAAATGTCAGGGACTGAAAACATAGTCTGCCCTTTGCTTGGACTGAGCTGGGAAGGAGGTTGTGGAAGGCGCTGGAGCATCCATTTTTGTACTTCATGGCCTGGTTAATCAAGGCTAGGGAACGGAAAGCAGGAGTAGAGGGCAGAGATTATAAACACAGATGCTGTCAGGGCTGGGCAAGTAAGATCATATTAGGACTCACAGTAAACTGAAAACAGTTCCAGATTTGAACTCCAAAACCCAAACAAAACACATCTGCTCCCAACTTTGGCTTGATGGTGAGACATGGAGAGTTAGCCACAGGGAAGCTGGGCTCAAACTTCTTCCATATCAGGTTCTAAGAATTGGTGGAGCATATGTTTAAGGCTGCATTAGCAAAGACTGTGGCTGATATAGGCACTTTGGTTCTATGATAGCTCTAAAAGCCATGGTGAATTTTATTTTTATTTTAGTAGTCATCCGGAGTTGCTTTGATCCAGTTCTTCTATTATGTTGTCACCTCCTGAATGTGATCACACATCTGAAAATGAAAGTAGATTCTTTTGTTCAGTTTGATGGTTGGCATCTTGTGTCCTTTTTCCCTCTGAAAGTTTTTTTCTTTCTTTCTTTTTCCATAGCCTTTGGCACAAAGCAGTAATTAATACTTGACTGCTAGTTGGGGCTCCTAACTTCCAAGTTTCAGCTGTCTTGAGTTGCTAGATAGAAGAGCAGATAAGCTTTGGGTACAGTTTTAAAGACTTTACCTGGCACCGAGGAGACTGTTTGGTAGGGAGAGACCCTTGCTATTTATTGGAAAGAAACTTGCCTAGGAGAGAGTGCTTCAAGGTATCATAAGCCAGAGTTGTTTCTGAATCTGTGTGTTCAGTCTGATCCGGGGAGAAGGCAGAATGTAAAAGCTAAGGATGAATGAAATGAAGGTACTAACCTCACCTGTCTTTGTCAAGGTCTTAAGTGCTTTTCTCCTCTGCGGTTCTCCCTCTCCCTCTTCCGGTACATTTCAGAGAGTGTCAGAAGTCTCCAACACTTGGTGGTACTCCATGCTCATCCTGCCTCCTTTGCTGAAAGACAGTGTGGCAGCGCCTCTGCTCTCTGCCTACTACCCTGACTGTGTGGGCATGAGCCCCTCCTGCACCAGTACAAACCGCACAGCCGCCACCACCACTACCTCCACCACCAACAGTGCCAGCCCAGCAACACTGGAACCCTCCATGGTGGCTCCCTCTGCACTGGGTGAGAGTTCTTTTAGTACTTCCTCCTTCCCCTTTCTTCCCCTTCCCAGAAATTTAGGAATGAAAGAGATTGACACGTGTGACATGTGTGACATCTCATTATTTCCTGCATTTTGTTACAAGTCGGCCTTCCATGTCCATGGCTTCTGCACCACACAGTCAACCCATCATGCATAGGGGAAAAGCTTGTGTCAATACTGAACCATATGTATAAACTTCTTACTCTTCATATTCCCTAAATGAAACAATGCAAGAAGTGTTTACATTGTATTAGGTATTATAAGTCATCTACAGCAGATTATTTGAAACTACAGTAGGTTATAGTAAATACTAGCCAGTTTTTGTTTTAGGGTTTTTTTTTGTATTATAAAGGTGATGTACAGCATAATTGGTACATTTCTTTTTGGATAATGTTCCCCCTTTCCTTGCTCTCTTCCAATACTAGTCATTTGATACAAGGGAATTGAGCATGCATGGATTTTGATGATCCAGTGGGTAGAACTAATTCCCTTAAAGATGCTAAGGGTCAGATGTACTGTGGATAACTCCTGTCACTTACATGGTATAAATTATCTATATAGCACATGAGTATTTATTTGAAAGTTGAGTAACTATAGTTGGAAGATTTTATGAACTCTGACTTAGAAGAAGGAAGTTGCTACATCCGCAGTACTTTTCTGCTCTCTCCATCTTTTTTTTTTTTTTTTTTAATGTGTGTACGCATGTGTGAGTTGGTACTATGGTTTGAACTGAGGGCCTCACATTCTCATTTGGTTTTCTTGCTCATGACTAGCACTCTACTACTTGAACCACACTTTCAGTACAGCTCTTTGCTGGCTAATTGGAGAGTCACACAGATAAATCTGCCCAGACTGGCTTCAAATTGAACCTCAGATCTCAGCCTCTAGTGTAGCTGGGATTATGGACATTAGCCCTCAGTGCACTAGTTTTTCTTCACCTTTCTGTATCCAGTGGTAATTTGAAGCCAGCAAGGCAGAAAAGTCCATGAGATTTAAGCTCTAATTAACCAGGGAAATGGAGGCACGGCTCAAATGGTAGATTGCCTGCCTAGCAAGAATGAAGCCCTAAATTTGAACCTAGGACTGCCAAAAAAAAGTTTAGAAATTTGTTGGACACTCAATACACGTAACACTACTGAGCGGTACACTTGCAAATATTTGAGGTGTCAGATTTTACATTTTTTTGTGCAGTTAAAATTTTGTTTCTTAAGATTAAGGTTAAGATTGTGAGTGACTTGTAAGAAAACAATGGGGAGATGTTTGTGTAATTCATGTGTATTTTGTCCACTCAGATGAAAACGGAAGTACTTGTGCAGGGTAGACAGTAGAGCTTGTCCGGGCAGCTCTTTTGGGTGTGATTTTGCTCCCCTTTTTTCCCCCCTGGCTTTGGAAGCTACAGCTTGTATCACCTATCAGTTCCAGGCATGAACCGGTACTTTCAGCCTTTCTACCAGCCGAATGAGTGTGGCAAAGCCCTCTGTGTGAGGCCTGATGTCATGGAACTAGATGAGCTCTATGAGTTTCCAGAATATTCCCGAGACCCCACCATGTACCTGGCTTTGAGAAACCTCATCCTCGCCCTGTGGTATACAAACTGCAAAGTAAGTAAGGCTGCTAGCCAGCAGCGCAGGGATGGGAGCGAAGAGCAGGAGCTGTTTGACAAAAGCCTGTAGACCAGGGTTTCCCAGCCTTGGCATTGTGGACATTTTAGGCAGCTAATACTTGGGGAATGGTGGCACCATTTTTATGTTGGCAGCATCAGCAATAAAAAGCCTGGATTTCTGTAGTGGAAGTTGGGAAGGTGATGGGTCTGACCTTACATTCCTCATAACAGTCATTCTTGTTCTCAGAAAGAGGAAAGATAGCTGCCAAAGGACAAGTTGCTGTAACCTGTTGGTCCCTTTTTTTTTTGTTTTATTCCTCACCAGAATGACCTCCCTTTGCTCTTCTTAGTGTGAAATGATGGGTGTAAATTATTGTAAGTTTTGTGGTAAAATGTACATAACATAAAATTTTCCATTTTAACCATTGTAAAATGTGCAGTTCAGAGGCTCTAAGCACATGTAAAATTATGATTCCGAGAGGAAAGTTCCTACCTGATCACTTCCTGTTTTTCCCCTGATGCTGCCACACCACTCCCAGCCCTTGGTAACCATTGCTGTAACTTTCTCTGGATTTTCCTATTGTGGACATTTCATATATAGAGAAACATATAGTGTTTGGCCCTTCAAGAATCATCCATATTATAGCAGGGATTGGAACAGCATACCATTTTAGGGTAGAATAATAATCTGTTATGTGAATATGCCACAATTTCTTTTTCCATTCATCCATTGATTCTCAGGGATGTCTCTACTTTGTGGCTGCTACTGCTGTGACCATTTTGCTTGAACATGACGTTTCAATTCTTCTGGGTATATATCTCAGTGGAATTGCTGGTTCATCTCACAGTTTTATGATTAACTGTTAAAACAAGATAAACATTATTATTATTATTTTATTTTTATTTTTTTTGCTGGTCTTGGGTTTGAACTCTGGGCAGGGGCGCTGTCCCTGAGCCTCTTTGTGCTCAAGGCTAGTGCTCTACCACTTGAACCACAGTGCCACTTAAGTTTATTGGAGATAAGAGTCTCACAGGGACTTTTCTGCCTAGGTTGGCTTTGAACTGCAATTCTCCAATCTCAGCACCCAAATAGCTAGGATTACAGGCATGAACGACCAGCCTCCAGCTTAAAACTTCTAATCGACAAAAATTATACCTGGGGCTGGGAAGATGGCTCGGTGGTAGAGCGCTTGCCTTGTATGCTCGAGGCCCTGGGTTTGATTACTCAGCACCACATAAAGCAAAATGAAAAAAGCCAGAAGTGGTACTGTGGCTCAAGTGGTAGAGCGCTAGCCTTGAGCTGAAGAGCTGAGTGACAGCGCCCAGGCCCAGAGTTCAGGCCCCACGACCGGACCCAAAAAAAAAAATTATACCTATTTGAGATAACTGATGCCTTAAGTATGTGTACATTTTAACAAGTGAAGCTAATATATATAAAATCTTACTGTATTTTTGTGGTGACTACTGAGAATTTCTTAGTGATTTTCAAGTATACAATGTTATTAAAGTCATATTTTATAATAGATCTCTTGAGTTTATCCCTTGTAACTAGGTGAAATTTTGTATCCCTGACCTGTCTCCCCACCCCACCTCACTCATTGGTCCTTGCTAAATAATTCTTATTGTATGCTTTACTTCTATGAGTTTGGTGGATTTAGAGTCTATGTATGAGTGAGATCATGCAGCATCTGCCTTTCTGTGCTTGGTTTATTTTGCCTAACAGCTCCTCCAGATTTGTCCATGTTACTTACATAAGATAGGTGTTGTTCTTGCTAAGGCTGAATAGCCATTTGTGTATATTGCTACATTTTCATTAGTGATTCAGTTGATGGGCATTGAGTTGGTTCTGTATCTTGATGATTTGAATAAGGCTTCAGTGAATGTGCAAGTGGTGTCTTTGACATTGTCACCTGATAGTGGGACTGTTAGATCACACGATTATTTTATTGTTAATTCAAGGAGCCTTCACACTGCTTTCCACAGTGGCTATACATACATATATTTCCATCCATAAGTGTGCAAAATCTCCCTTCTCTCTGCATTTATTTGCTTTTGTCTTTCTGATTACAATAGCCATTTAACTGGAATGAGGTGATAATTCATTGAATTTTGAATTGTATCTCCCTGGTAGTTAGTGATGTTGAACATATTTTTCTTATGTCTGTTGGCCACATATATGTCTATTAGATCTTTTGCCCCACCTACTTTTAATGGTCGAGATCAAACCTAGATGCTTTTATACATGCTAGACAAATGCTCTCTGAGCCCCCCACTCAATTTTTAAAAGTGGCAAAGTAGTGCTTACTACTTTGAGTTGTTTTCTTGCTATTAAAGAGCTCCTTGAGTGTTTTTGTTTTTGTTTTTTTAACAATTGGGTTTCATTTCCAAACACAGGAAGCCCTTACTCCTCAGAAATGTGTTCCTCACATTATCGTCCGGGGCCTCGTGCGCATTCGATGTGTTCAAGAAGTAGAGCGAATCCTTTATTTCATGACGAGGAAAGGCCTTATCAACACAGGAGTTCTCACCGTGGGAGTTGACCAGTATCTTCTTCCTAAAGACTACCACAATGTAGGTGGCTGTGGCCTTAGCAACAGCATTCCCAGTGATCTTCATAAAATGCTTGTTAGCTACTTTATCATGATAAAATATACATAAGCAAGACCTTTTCCATATAGGATATTTCTCCCAAGAGGAAACTATCAAGTAGTTGCTCCAGATTGCAGGACTGAAGGGAAGGGATCATAAAGACAAGTACAACCATATTCTTTAGGAAAATAACTTTATAAAGGCATCAAAGAAACATAGATGGACTAGCATTGTAATAGTACATTGTTACCATTGCTCTGATTGGAATTTTTTTATTGGTGCATATCAGTTATATGAGTTGTAATTTGTTTTATTGTAGTATTTTCAAACATGTATAATGTACTTTGATTAAATTCATGTCCTCTATTGCTCTTTCTTTACTTTTCCCCTATTTTAGAACCAATTTTCAATCTAATTGGAATTTTGTTTCTTTTCTTTTTGAAAAGAAATCAGTCATCATTATTGGGGCTGGTCCAGCAGGATTAGCAGCTGCTAGGCAACTGCATAACTTCGGAATTAAGGTAAGATTTTTGGGATATGTGGGTGGCAACAGATGGTTAACTGCTCATTTGGTCCAAATTTTCTGACTCTTAGGAACTAGTTCCTAATTTTAATGAGGAATGCTGGAAGTGTTAATCTCTTTATACTAGCTCCTAAGATAGTTAAAACATTTGCAATAATTTAATTGAAGAAAGGATAGAGGAACTACTAGCTTTGGAGAGAATTCAGCCTCTATACTTTTTCTTAGCTAAAAGGCCAAGAAATGATATTTTCTGACTCTGCATTTAGAGTCAGAATTTAGGGTAAAAGCAAAAGTTCTTGACTAACATTAACACAATTGAGGTGTTAGTGGTGGGAAAAGTCCCTCTTCCCTGTCCTTGTTCCCTATAACCAATGACAGCATGGAAATTCACTATCCTGGGAAAATACCTAGGTCTCTCCTGCTTTCACTCCTGCCTCCTTCCCCGACTTTCTCCCTTCTTTTTTCCTTCTCTCTCCTCTCTGTCCCCTCTCTCTCCCTTCCCTAGCCTCCTTTTTCCCCCTTTCTTCCTACTTTCTCTCCATTCTCTCTACCTTCTTTTCCTCTCTCCTCTCTCTTCCTCTCTCCTCCCTTTCCTCTCTCCTCTTCTCTCCTCCTCTCTCCCCTCCCATTTCCTCCTCTCTTTTTGTGTTGGTGCTTGAACTCAGAATTTCAAGTACTGGGCAAGTGTTCTACCATTGAGATACTACCAACCTCCCAGTTAGTATTTCTTAGGCAAACCAAAGATACTCTTTGATTCTGGCTCAGGAATGTGAAAATTTTGCTTTTCCAATCTTGATTGGATGATGCAGAGTTTGGACTTATGTAGTTGCATATGTAGATAGATATGTAAGACAACTCGCTTCTACAAAGTGGACAACATATTGTGTTGTGAGTGTTCATAATAAACCAAAGTAATCTATCAAAAACCCAAACCCACATGTATAATTTAGTATCTCATTTCCTTCACTAAGTCCATTCAAATGAACTGTCCCTTTAGATTTCTCTTGATTTTGCTAGTTCTGATAGTTTGTCTCCTGTTTAAAACTTTACAAGAACTGATTTTCTGGGATACTACAAGTGTAAATGAAACATTTCATTTTGGTAAAAAATGTTTTTAGTTTATCTGGCTGAAAGATTGATACTTTTTGCTATTTTCTTCTATGTGGTAAGGTTTTCAGTCTTGTTTTGAATTGTCAGGGTGCAGTTTTCAATAGCTGTGCCTAAAATATTTCTTTCTGGGAGGATGCAAGTTGTGGATTACATTATCTTGCTGGCAAAATAGAACAACCTGAGTTGGATATTACAGGAAATGTGCTTGCATTTAGAAGTATCTTCGGTGTGATCTTAAGCTATAAGGTTGTAAGTGATTTCTTTCCCTGTTTTCTTATTTTTCAATGTTTTCATATTACATTTGGACCAATGTTTTTGTTTGTGTTTTGCTTGGGAAACCTAAAGATAATATTACAGGGAAGTTATTAATATCCAAAGTCTAGGGAGTTTGGGTATCAATATCTTACACTAAAAAAGAAAAAATGGAAATGGATAGCCTACTATTAAATTGAAGTCGGAGCCTTCTTAGTCTCAGAAAGTGGAGAATATAGGTCTGAGAAAGAATGTTCAGAGGGCCTCTGTGTTATTTTGCCCAAATGATGAGATAGCCACAGGAGACTATCCCTTGAGAATCAGGAAATAGATACCTCTGTACCTTTGAGTGAACTGAGAGATCATTCAGGGACCTCTTGTGTGTGCGCGCGTGTGCATCATTCCTGAGGCTTGAACTCAGGGCTGGGATCCTAAGCTTTTTTTGTACAAGGCTTAGTGCTCTACCACCTGAGCCACAGCTCCACTTCATTTTTGTTTGGTGTGTGCTTAATTGGAGATAAGAGTCTCACATACTTTCCTGTCTGGACTGGCTTTGAAGCCTGATCCTTAGATCTCCACCTTCCAAGTAGCTAGAATTAAAGGCATGAACCACTAGCAATTCTTAGTACTTAAACAAAAAAAACCAGAAGTAAAATGACTAGTTTTTTGTTTGTTTGTTTTATTTTTTGTGAATCGTGGGGCCTGAACTCTGGGCCTGGGCGCTGTCCCTCAGCTCTTCAGCTCAAGGCTAGTGCGCTGGTACTTGAGCCACAGCGCCACTTCCAGCTTTTTTGCTTATGTGGTGCTGGGGCATTGAACCCAGGCCTTATGCATGCAAGGTAAGCACTCTACTACTGAGCCCACCCCAAAATGACTAGTCTTGTGATCTCATTTTCAATTAATGCAAAACAGGGAGCTGTGGCACTTTGAATCCCAGTCCCACAGATGATACAGTGCCTGTTTATCTCTGAGCTTCTCCTCCTTTGTCCAGCGTTAGCAATTGGAAATAATTGAGCCTGGTTTGGTCAATCTCATGAGGTCAGGCTTAGACATTAAAAAACTAATAGTCATGTGTCATGGTGGTAAGGCCTATTTATGTTGCTAAGGAAATATTGCTTTTTATATAGATATTTCATATGCAAATTCAGCTCTTAATCCTGGTTTTTTATTTGTGGACTATTTAGTAAAAGTGTTCAAAGTTCATTTCACATGCTTGTTCATTAGCTCTTGCCTGACTTGAAGCACTACAAGGGGGTCTTCTAGCAAGACCACCCAGGCTTCCCTTCCAGATTTTGGGCTGCTTTGAATGTCCTTTTTAGTTTCTGTTTAAATTCAATCAAGAGGCTTTTTTAGAAATACAATAATTAGGATTAACACTATTATTCTACATTTTTGTAATTCTGTATCTGCTGTAACAGCTCTGTCCTGTTTTGATTCTCTGGTTGTTTATTTATTTTTTTTAGGTGACTGTTCTTGAAGCCAAAGATAGAATTGGAGGTCGAGTCTGGGATGACAAATCTTTTAAAGGCATCACGGTGGGAAGAGGACCCCAGATTGTGAATGGCTGTATTAATAACCCAATAGCACTAATGTGTGAGCAAGTGAGTTTAAGATTTATGTACAATGAAAAGTTGTCACAGTTTGCTTGGGTATAGTATTCATATACCGCTGGCATTGTAGCTCATAGCAGAGCACTTGCCTAGCTTGTGTGGTGCCTTGGGTTCAGTTACCAGCATTTAAAAATAGAAAGCGATTATAAACTAGTGTGCTTCTCAAGTAGATCATGTACAATAGTGTCTATGCAAAGGAAAGAGTAACTGTGCTTCTCCTTTTCTGAGAGGTTTTTCTTTTTCTAAGATATTTTATTTGCAGGCCAAATAATTGCAATGTTAGGGTTGCCAGATTTGACAGGTGAAAGTACAGGCTTCTTTATTAAATTTTGACTTTCAGAAAAAAATAACTTTAGTGCAAGTAGACCCCAGATATTACATGGGATATTTTGCATGCAGTATTTGTGTACTTAACACTTTTACAAGTGTGTGACCTACTGCTGGGAATTTCTCTGATAGGTCCACTTTTTTTTTTCCCCTGAAAGTTTTACTGAGAGTAAACTGGATTTCAGCTTCTATAAGTATGTCTGTGCTCGTGAGTTCATTTATGTGAAGGTCCATAGCGAAGACAGGGCGGGGGTGTTAGCATCTGCAGCATTACGTAGGAGTTAGTGCATGGTATAGAAGCTGTTGTCTCCTCCCTCATAGCATAGTCTCACAAAACCCAGGGCTGTTGATTTTTGTTATTTTACCCAACGTCTCACTTTGTTGTTGGTTTTTTTTTTTTTGCTTTAGGTTTTTTACATTGTTAGACCCTTTTCTCCATGAGAGCGCTGTCTTAGTTCAGCTTAGCACCTGTAAATATTTTTTTCCAGGGAAAATTTTTCACTTTCTCGTTCTTATTATTTTGAAGCTTGGCATCAGCATGCATAAATTGGGAGAGAAATGTGACTTAATTCAGGAAGGTGGAAGGATAACGGACCCTACTATTGACAAGCGCATGGACTTTCATTTTAATGCTCTCTTGGATGTTGTCTCTGAGTGGAGGAAGGATAAGACTCTGCTCCAAGATGTCCCTTTAGGAGGTATGGGAGAATGATATCTGATTGTTCCGTCTCAGTGCCGCTGTGACTAGTAGCATTGTTCCTTTTCGAGACTGCACGTGTGCAGTAGGGATGGTCTATATGCATGCCACTTTGGACAGCTAGACCCCAGGTATTCCTCAAGGTGGGGTATAACTTTCCTGGGGACCTTGGAAGCATATATGTGCATGCACATATGAGCCTGACATAGCATGAAGCTCATGTATCACAAAATGAACCATAACTGGGCACTAGTAGTAGCTCTACTTATAAACCTAGCTACTCAGGAGGCTGAGACCTAGGGATTACAATTCAAAGCCAGCCTGGTAAAAAAAAAAGTCCATGAGACTCTTTTTTATCTCCACTTAACCACTAAGAAGCCAGAAGTGAGTGTGGCTCACATAGTAGAACATTAGCCTTGAGCAAAAAAGCCAAGAGAATGAGGCCCTGGGTTCAAGTCCCAGTACTGGTACCATATTGTGTGTGTTCTCTCTCTCTCACACACACACATACACACACAGAAAAACTGTAAATATTAAATCTCTCAGAAACCTACTTTTAAAAAGTCTATAAATCCTGGGTGAGTAAATTATCACTTTGTTGTATCTTTTCTGTGTAAAAGTTCTGAGTACTAGGATTTGTTCTTTCATTTCTTCAGGCAATAGGTTAAGATTTTTGTTCAGTATATTTGACTAAGACTGTATACTCTTAAGAATTTTAATTCTTGGGCCTGGGGGTTTAGCCCAGCGGAAGGGCGCCCGCCCGACACACGCAAGGCCCTGGGTTCGGTCCTCAGCCCTGGGGGAAAAAAAAAAAAGAATTCTCAGTCTTTCATCATGGTACTTCAGTGAGTACCAAAAGTTTGTAGACCACTTGACTGCCTGGAACTCATTGCTATGAGGTGGCAGCTATGTACTGCTTCTTAAATTGAGTGTGGGTATTGGTATTTCTTGACTTCACTTTGTTAGATAGTAATTTGCTTCAACTGTAGGCTCTCTGCAACGGAGTTCACTCATCTGCAGGCTGATTTGTTTAGTCTGTATTTGAAATAAAGGTCTTTATTTAGAATAAACTCAGTAGCAGAGAATGTCTTTGTTTGCCTTTCACCACTAAGACTGACATGCTCTGATAAGTCTTGAGAAGTGTTGACTGAAACCTGAAAACATTTTCAGAAATAATACTATAGATTAATAAGATCATTGAACCAAATGTTGTAGTGTCCAGACCTCAAGTGATGGTCAGTTTTTGGAGTTGAGAATAGTAGTTAGGTTGATTTTTCAGGATATCCCTAGAAATTTTTAGTTCATTGAATAGGGTCTATGGTAGCCCTGGCTGACCTGAACTTGTGATCCTAAACTACGTCTGTCTTGAAACAAAGCTCTGGGATTTCAGGGACGTGCCATCACACCTGGCTATGTCCTACAGAATTTGGCTAGTATTCCGCATCTGTGTGATGGTTGTTGGCTGGGTTTTTCTTTTTGTTTTCCCAGTATTACCAAGTAAAAGATTTTGATAAATTGGCATTATTTTAAAATAAGTTATTAAGGGAGGCCCAGCAATAATGGAAAAGTAATTTTTCATCTAAGACTATTAAAATTTTTATAATCTGCTTACATTTCTATAAAAAGTTCTGCCTGTATCTCAGTTGCCTGAGATCTCAGTACATACATACTCACACACAGAGCTAGAGTTCATTTCACCATGCACATGTTTAATATTTATACAATATATAAATATTACTTAAAAACTACGTTAAGGCCCTTTCAAGTATGTCAATACTCATTTTACATTCTACTTTTGTAGTCTTGGTTATTTCCCCTCCACAAAGCCCACAGGAGAGCAGAAACTCCCTATCAGCCAGCAGAAATCGGGATACTACAAAAGGCTTTGAAAGTGACAGCCCCAGGGATGTGGGGTGAGAAGCCTGGCCCAGGTCCCTTGGACATCCTCATATTATAATCTAGTCTTAAGAATTGAAAAGTCAGCCGGGCGCTGGTGGCTCACGCCTGTAATCCTAGCTACTCAGGAGGCTGAGATCTGAGGATCGTGGTTCAAAGCCAGCCCGGGCAGGAAAGACCGTGAGACTCCTATCTCCAATAAACCACCAGAAAACGGGAAGTGGCGCTGTAGCTCAAGTGGTAGAGCACTCGCCTTGAGCTGAAGAGCTGAGGGGCAGCGCCCAGGCCCAGAGTTCAAGCCCCACGACCGACAAAAAAAAAAAAAAAGAATTGAAAAGTCCTTTGAGAACCTTGATGTCAAAATAAAAGTTTCCTGACAATTCGGTTTCAAGTTTGGCAAGTGCACCACTGTTCAGAGGAACTTGGAGCCTGTGGTATGTTGGCTGGCTGTCCTCACTAAGAAAGCTAGGAAGGAGCAACCCATACTGAGATGCTTGGGATTAGTCAGATATCTGGCCAGGCAAAGCTTTCTCCCATTTGTAGTGCCCTGAGGTATCCAATTAAGAACCTAACTGGAATGATTTCACAACTTGAACTATGTGTTGTCCAAGTTGCTGCTGAGTGAGATAGACAGGTACAGGTTGAGAATCCTGGTCCTGCAGTGTCGCAGTGATGCTGGATTGTGAAGAATGGAATGTGTTGGAAGGTGATGGATGGGGATGGATGTTCCTGAGAAGGAGAGTAGTAGTAGCAGGCAGAATTCACTAGAAAAATGTTCAGGAGCAGAGTGGCCATACCTGTAAGTGGACAAGGTAGTACTCACTACCTTTGTAAGATGAACATATGCCAGCCTTCCTTGCCTCTGGCTTTTGGAAAATAGTAAGTAAGGTATTCAGGCAAAAGACTAGCATGATAAAAGTACATAAACTATTCTTGTTTAAGATACCGTGTAGCCAGTAGTTAGCCTAGTGAAGAACTGTTGTAAGAACTTGACATTAGGCTAAATGCTCATGACTCACACCTATAATCCTAGCTAATGAGGCTGAGATTTGAGGATCATGTTTTGAAGCCAGCCCAGGCAGTTAAATCCATGATACTCTTATCTCCAATTAATCACCAAAAAGCTGGAAGTTGAGAGCACTAGTCTTGAGCAAGAAAGCTCAGGGACAGCATATCATCCAGGCCCTGAGTTTAAACCCCAGGACCAGCACAAAGTAAAAAAACAAAAACTTGACATTAAAGCAGTGGCATTAGACAGCAAAAGAATATAAAGGAAATGTAATTCTTTTGAGCATGTTACGTATATGTTCAGGAATACTTTCTACACCTTGAGCACAAGAGGAACCAGTTTCTCAGCTGGACATAACTGAAACATTTTCAAAGATCCTCCATAGTTTCATTTCCATTAAGGTAAGCTTTCACTTTCTGAGAGGATTAGGCCTTCAAAAAGCTATCGTTTTCCTGTGGAGGGGAATGGAGGAAAGGTAGTGGATGCTTCAGGCTTCGTGGCATGCAGAGAACAAAGGACCAGGATGTGACAGAATGAGGTGAAAGCTGTTGTGCTTTTTTGATCCCTTTTCACTGCAGCGAAGATAGAGGAGATCTTCAAGGCTTTTGTGAAAGAGTCGGGCATACAGTTCAGTGAACTGGAAGGACAGGTGCTTCAGTTTCATCTCAGTAATCTGGAGTATGCCTGTGGCAGCAACCTCCATCAGGTGAGGCTGGGTTCTGTAGTACATGCTTTGCTATTAAATACTTGCTGGTGTTTATGTGCATTTTGTATGTCTTAAGCATGGAACTGGGGATGATTTGGAGAAATAGAGTAGGTCCTGTGGCCCAGAAATTTGATAAGTACAACTTCAAAGTATATTGTATTTTAGCACTTTTGTTTAAAGTAAAATACCTTTCCCAAGAAATGTGCTCATTAGGGGCTGGGAAGGTGGCTCAGTGGTAGAGCGCTTGCCTTGCATGCTTGAGGCCCTGGGTTCGATTCCTTGGCACCACATAAGCAAAAAGAAAAAAGCCGGAAGTGGCGCTGTGGCTCAAGTGGTAGAGCGCTAGCTTTGAGCTGAAGAGCTGAGGGACAGTACCCATGCCCAGAGTTTAGGCCCCACTACCAGGCCCCCCCCCAAAAAAAAAGAAATGTGCTCATTACCTTACTCATGTAACTGTAACCTCTCTGTACAGTATCTTTAATATATATATAAATTTCCCCAAAGAATGCCTAGAAGAAGCTCATAGAGAGCAATGCTGCTGGGCTCAGCCAGCAATGGCAAAGAGCCTTGTCCCTCAGCCATGCCCTCTGGAGTTGACCTCAAGTTATTTCTGTGGAACCATGGAGTCTGTAAACACTGTCCTCAAGAAACCCAAATACAGCATCCTTGAAGTTCTGACCTGTTTGTCTTACCAAAACAAATTCAAGCTTGCCTCATTTTACCAACTGAGAACCCAGAACTTCATTATTCTGTATTTTGAGTAGAAACTCCCTGGCTTGTTCATCTATCTTCTTGGGAACTCTCCATATCCACTTGGTTCTGCAGTACAATTGGAACTGCAGTGTTTTCCAAAATCGTGCTGGGTTTCAACCTCTGCAGTGTGCCCACATAGAAGACACAGTTGGTGTCTTTATATATGGAATTTAATGCAGTTTCTTTACCCTTAATAGAATTCCCATTCACGAGAAGAGTTTTCTCTAGGTACTTCTTCTCAATAATTTAGACCTTTTGTGTTCCATAATCAGCTTTTCTGTAGAGATTTTCTTCCAAAAATAGCAGTGTCAACAGAACTGGTTAGTTCATATTCTCCCTCCTGATATTTCCATGGGGTTGATGGCTTAGCCCTACTGCTTTGGGTGGCTGCTCTAACCTGGGACTCCTTTCTGTGGGCTCAGACACAGACTCTAGGATTCACACTGCAGGCTCCCATCTTTTGTTTGCAGGTGTCTGCTCGTTCCTGGGACCACAATGAATTCTTTGCCCAGTTTGCTGGTGACCACACTCTACTAACTCCTGGATACTCTGTCATAATTGAAAAACTGGCTGAAGGACTAGACATTCGGCTCAGATCTCCAGTAAGTATGGGTAGGTGTGGAAGGTGCTGGCTTTGCTTTGTTTGGGAGGATGTGAGATACAGTCAGGTTATTTTTTTCCTGGTCTTGGGGCTCGAACTTTGGGCTTGGGTGCTGTCTCTGAGCTCCTTTTTGCTCAAGGCTAGCATACTACCACTTGAGCCACAGTGCCACTTCTGGCTTTTTCTGTGATTAATTGGAGATAAGAGTGTCACCGACTTTCCTGCCCAGGCTGGCTTCAAACCCTGACCCTTAGATCTCAGCCTCCTGAGTAGCTAGGATTACAGGTGTAAGCCACTGGCATCTGGCCACGTGACTAAGCGGCAGGCATTGCCTCGGCCATTCAGGCACTGGCTTTCAGTACTTGTGGTTACCGTTATGGCTGTGACCTGTCATAGTTGTTGTCTGGGAGTAGCAGTGACCTACATGAGTATTCATTAATAAAAGTGTTTAGCTGGGTACCTGTGGGTCACACCTGTAATGTTATATATTCAGGAGACTGAGGTTAGAATGATTGCATTGAAGCCACCCTGAATACAAAAGTCTGTGTACTATTCTCTCCCCAAGTCAAAAGCAGTGCTCGTGGCATGGCTCAAGTGGTATAGTGACAGCCGCAAGCAAGAAAGCAAGCCCAGCGAGCTCAAGGCCCTGAGTTCAAATCCTACTGCCCTCCATAAAGTGAAACAAAATAAAAAATGTTATAACTCACAGTCTTCCTAACCCAATGCAGGTATTTGTCACGTTGAAATTTTCCCTTTAAATCTTTACCCCAATGGATTTATATAGTCTGTTGTTGTCATGGTAGAGATAGATGATGATTATTTGTACATATCTCACAATATTTTACAATGTTACATTGTTTGAAATTTTAGCACCCCATGTTCAGTTGTATTTAGATCTGAGTGCCAGCAAATGACTACCCATAGGAGTAAGACTCCTCACATCAGAACGGGGATACACCTGCATCATACGGTTCCAGCCCTCATCTGCTTTCTCATGCCTGTTTGTGTCCAACAGGTACAGAGCATTGATTATACTGGAGATGAAGTGCAGGTTGCCACGATTGATGGTACAGGATATTGTGCACAAAAGGTAAGCACTGTGATTCCACTGGGGTAGAGCCCTCTGCTGCCAGAGGCCTGGGGGAAAGAAAAACAGCCTTTGCCCATCACCTTGCTTTGTCTTTGGCACTCTGCCACGATTAAAAGCCTTGTTGAATTTCTGATGCATTGAATGTGCCCATTTCATTGTGTTTAAGTGTGCCAGTCTGATTTAACTGATCTAATACTGTTCCATGGCAAATGGACTTCTGTTCCTCGGGATGTGTTCTGTGTTCTATGTCCTAAGAGTCCAACAATTAAATTCTAGGGGGTAGTTCAGTGCTAAATGAGCTTGCCTAGTATGTAGGAGGCCTTGGTGGTGGTGGTGGTGGTGGTGGTTGTTTCTGTCAGAGACTGTGACTTACGGTACCTGAGCTTTGCTTTGGCTTATTAACTGGTGCTCTACAACCTGATTCATGCTTCCAACCTCTAATGTGTGAGGCCTTGGGTTCCATCCTCTGCACTCCTCCAGTTTTCTTTGTTTTGTTTTGCTTTGACAAATAATTTTGGAATACTATACCTCTCTGCTTTGAGGGGTATAGTAAATGCTATATTAAAGAAACCTGTTGTGCTTCTGATTTTTTTTTAAACAAAGAACCCCTTTTGGATTAAAAAAATCATTTGAAAGTAAACTTTATACAACCATGTACATTTATACGTAATTTAACTTTTTCTAGACAGCTAATGCTGTAATAGTAAAAAAAAGTACTGCTGAATCTAATAAACTAAAGTCATATTCTGATTTCTGTAGTATTATTGAACAAAGGTGCTAATTTGTTTGGGGTCGAAAGGATTTAATTTATCTTTAGAAGTTATGTTTGAGCTGGAGACATGGCTCAAATGGTGGTAGAGCCACCTGCCTTAGCCCAGAGCAAAGCCCAGGTTTAGTTATGTCTGAAGTGACGATGAAAAAAATCCTTGAGGGCAGAGTGTGGTGGTATGCCTGTAATCACAGCTGAGAAGTAGATACGGGAGGATCACAGTGCTATACCAGCTTGGTAATAAAAGACCTGTTTCAGAAACAAGCCAGGCATAATGGTGTGTCTATAATCCAACCTTCGTGGGAAGTAAAGGAAGGAAGATTGTGGTCAAGGGCCAGACTGAGCCAGCCCTTACCTGGAAAAAAAAAAAAGGCAAAAGGGTCTGGGATCTGGTTCAGATGGTATGGTTTAGGTGGTAGAGTACTTGTCTAGCACAAATGAGATCCTTAGTTCAAACTCCAGTACCACCAGGAAAAGTCTTTGAGTTGTAACTAGTTTCCTGGTGAGCTGGGCTTTCTCCTCATCACCGTCCTTTTCATAGTTCTTGATGTTTACATAGAAATGAAGAATTAAGTGTCACAGGCAGGGCCTGGAGTATGTGTTGGGATGAGGCTGTCCTAATGTTAACTGCTACCACCAGCTAGCTGGACACTTTGGATTAGCAGTGGATCTCAGCATGGGCTTCAGGTCAAAAGCATCTGGAGGTTCTTGACTGTGGGGATTCTGGGTGGGTTGTGTTGGTCGGATATTTTAATTCTTATCTGTGACTCTGGGTGCGTGGCTTGCTGATTTCTTAGTAATCAACATTTTTTTTTAAAGTTCTCTCTTTTGGCTTAAACTTAGGGTCTCACTGTTGTCTCTTTAGTTTTTTGCTCGAGGCTGATGCTCTAGCATTTGAGTCACAACTCTCCTTCTGGTTTTTTGATAGTTAATTTGAAGATTCTCACAGACTTTCATGCCTGGTCTGGCTTTGAACTTCAATCCTTGCAATCTCAGCCTCCTGAATAGTTAGGATTATAGGCCTGAGCATCAGTGCCTGACTAAAATGTCACCTTCTAAAATTGCAAGTCAGCTGGTGATTCAGCCTCTGGTATTTGTAGCTTTCAGTGTCCACGACACTGTGCCATTTGGGCTTCCTTTGCCTGGTCAGTCTCTGCTGACCATGGCTGGACACCGGCTCCCTCTGTGTTCTGGCATAGCTGCAAGCCGCACTTTGAAATGTTGAAAGCAAATATTTTTATTTGTGTGGCTAGTGCTCCTCACAGTTTGTCTTGGAAGTCTCCCCAAATAGATGAGTGAAAGCATTCCATCCCGACAAAAGACCAAAATCCTGCCATAAAGTGTAACAGAATGTAGCCAGTTTTTACCAGGGTGTGTTTATCATGGACTTGATTTGTCCAAGTTCTTGTGCAAAAGCATAGCCCTTCTAAAGAAAGTTTTGTCAGTAAGACTTCTGGATAGATTTCCTTGCAGTTGTTACGAGTGAATCAGCTCAACTAGGTCTTGCTTGCTGATTGTTTTGTTCTCATGGTAGCTCTAAAACCTGTAGACAGATCACCAACTTTTGAAGACAGAGACCAAATTTTATACTTCTAAAATTTTCACATTACAGAAATTATAGGGAGAATTGAGCTGTGATTCCAGTACCAGTACTGGAAAGCCTTTGAGAAGCAGGGCATATTGGTGTTCAGCTTCAAGTCAGTCATGGTTGGTTAGCAAGTTCTACAGATGTTGGGCACCAAACACCCATACGTAACACACAGAATCATCACTCCTCCTCTCCTTTCCACCTTGTCCCTTTTCTGCCCTCTTTCCCAGGGGGCTGTGGCTGGCTTCACTCTTGCCTTGCTGCCTCTGCTGATGCACAATGGTCCAGGTGTCAGTTCTTCTGCAGCAAGGATGTCAGAGGTCCCAGGTTGACTGTGCGTGGGGTGATGCTGAGCACAGTAGTGATGGCTTCCCAACTGTGTAGTGGTTCTGAAGCTAGAACCTTCCCGATTGTGTAACGAGGCAGTGGTTGTCTTTTGGTTTTGTGAGGTGGCTTTGAAGGGCGAGTTTTGTTTTTATTTTTGTTTCTGTTTTTAAAAAATAGTCTCACTCTGTATCTCAGGATAGTATGGAACTTGAGATTCTCCTGCTTTGGCCTCTAGTGCTGAGATTACAGGTGTGTACCACCACATCCAGGCTCAACTTAGCATGTTTGTGTCTATGTGTGTGTACTGGGGCTTGAACTTAGGGCCTGGAGGCCCTGAGGGTTGGTTTGTTTTTTCCTTTTTGAGTATTAAAAAAAAAAAAACCTGGGGCTGGGAAGGTAGCTCAGTGGTAGAGTGCTTGCCTTGCATGCATGAGGCCCTGGGTTCAATTCCTCAGCACTGCATAAACATAAAAAGCCAGAAGTGGCACTATGGCTCAAGTGGAAGAGCACTAGCCTTGAGCTGAAGGGCTGAGGGACAGTACCCACGCTCAGAGTTCAGGGCCCCACAACCAACCAAAAAGCAAAACAAAACTATTGTCTTTTTTTTTTGGCTGGGTATTGAACTCAGGATGTTGCACTTGCTAGCAAATGCTTTGCCATTGAGTTAGAACTCCGCCCTGTCTCTTAGTTTTTTTGCTCAAGGCTAGAGCCTTACCAGCTGTGGCTGGAGCCTCAGCCCCACTTTTGGCTTTGGTGGTTATTTGGAGATGAGTCTCACAGATTTGTCTGCCCAAGCTGGCTTCAAACTGAGATCTTAAGATCTCAGCTAGGGACCATAGGTGTGAGCCACCAGCACCTGGCTGAGCCAGGATTCTTATTAGCCATCAGAACATGTATGCAAATTCTGTGTGGATGCCACTTCTGCTGAAGCAGGCCCCTTTGTGCAGTGAACAACCCGCATGACTGCTCATCAAAGCCCTTTTTCTTGCAGTATAACATGAGAGGTTGTTGATGACTGTCTTGAAACTGGACACGAGAAGAATGTTCTTCCTGTGTTGATTTTCTTGGAAACTGAGTTGTTAGGGTCAACTGCCTTATGCTCTGGTTAACTGCTAATTACTTCCCACAGGTTTTAGTCACAGTGCCACTGGCTATACTACAGAAAGGAGCCATCCAGTTCAATCCGCCATTGTCAGAGAAGAAGATGAAGGCCATCAACAGCTTGGGTGCAGGCATCATTGAAAAGGTGACCTGATTTACCTTAGCTTCAGAACTTGGAACTCATGGCAGATAACAGGACTTAGAATGTAATCCAGTGTCATTTTTGAAGACAAATGGAATTTATAGGTTTCCTTTCCTCTTGTTCTTGAAGAATATAAAAGGATATTATCAGTTGTTGACTTTGAGAGTGAAATTTGATATTCAGAATCTAGATTTGCTATAAGTATTTCTTTGTGTGCTTTTTTTTTGTTGTTGTTGTTGATCTCTCCTTAGCCCCAACTAGGACAGTGGCTTACTTCCTCTTCCCTTAGATACCAGCAAATCTGAAAGTAATGAGTGTGGAACAGCCTTAGAAACATTTCATGCTTTTAGATTAGCCTGTAGGTCAGTCCTGCGCCACACCATTATCCAAGGGAATGTAGAATGAGGGGGCATAAAAAAAGCAGTTAGGCAGCAGTGGCTTGTTCACCTTATAATCTTAGTTACTCAGGAGGCTGAGATGAGAGGATTGTTTTGTGAAGTAAGCTTGGGCAGAAAAGTCTGAGCCTTCGTATTCAAAACAACCAGCAAAAAAGCAGGGCTGGAGGTATGGCTCAAGTGGTAGAGTACCAGCTGAACAATAACCAAAGTCCAGTAAGCATGAAGCCATGAGTTCAAACTCCAGTTTTGCCAAAAAAAAAGGGAGGAGGAGGAGGAAAGAAGGTACAGGAACATAGATCAAGTAGTAGAGTGCCTGTTTAGCAAGCTCAAGATGTGTGTTCAAATTTAACCCCCTACTCCCCACCCCCACCTCAAATGGGCAGCAAGCTCACAGAGAACCAAGATAGACAGGAGTATGGACAATGGGTAGATTGTTTTTAGTAGTTGTACAAAGGGGTTTTAGCTTGTCAGTTTGAGTATCATCTTGATCAGTCATCTTGATCAATGTCCACCTGTCCATTCTCGGCATCTTCCAATACTCATTTTCACTTACAACATGCATAGAATATTATGATTGTATTCACCCACCCTTCATGATTTCTTAGTATTTTTGCAGGTTGTCTCTAGTGTTGGCCAGAATTGCTATGTGCAGGGTACTGAGCCATCTCTCTTTTGCTTCCTAGATTGCTTTGCAGTTTCCATACAGATTTTGGGACAGTAAAGTTCAAGGGGCCGATTTCTTTGGTCATGTTCCTCCCAGTGCCAGTCAGCGAGGGCTCTTTGCTGTGTACTATGACATGGATCCCGAGGTAAAGCTGTGAAATGTGCTTTAACAGTCTAGTTGTCGGTTGTGTGCTAGCCTAGAAACAAATGAATATCACGGAGATTCTGGATGTCACTTTGACTGGGACATTTTCTTACGGGAAAAGAACTCCAGTGTTTGTCTTTTAAGTACTAGTGTTACTTAACAGGGGCAGATCAGCTGAGCACAGTGCATGAGTGGCCTGAGACTTCCTCTATGACAGACTTCCAGAGAGCGGGCAGGGCAGGTCTGGGTGCGGAACATCGTGCAGTAGGGAATGAGACAACTCTGAGGCTGTCCAGTGCGGCCCTGTGGCTGCCACATTCAGGAATCCCAGCTGCTGCTGTCCTGCTTTCCTCTCATTCTCAGTATGGCTTAAGGTTTCACGTGGGAACCCAGTGCAGGAGGTCTCATTGGCATTATTTTTTCTCCAATTTCCCTTCTCAGTCTCTTCCTGCTACTTCGAAACAAGCTTTCATAAACAGCTCAGGGCACCCTGCATTTCCTAGTCTGAGCACTGAGTGTTTTGGGTTTTCTTTTCTTTCTCTTTCCAGGAGAGAACAGTACAGTAATGTACTGTTGAGTACATTATTGAGTCTACCCCTCCTGGATGAGTAATGTGTGTGAGAGAGAGCATGGAAGGACTCAATCCGAAGTGAGGATGAGCCAGTGAGAAGCAGTGAGGCCCTTGTCTGGAACTGAGCATTAGAAACATTTGGACCCGAAGCTTTAACTGCTTTTTCCCTCTGTGCCTGCAGAAGCAGCAGAGCGTGCTAATGTCGGTGATCGCAGGGGAGGCTGTAGCATCCCTCCGGACCCTGGATGACAAGCAGGTGCTGAAGCAGTGCATGGCCACCCTGCGGGAGCTGTTCAAAGAACAGGTCAGACACACTTGCTGTGCATGTGCTCTTTGGGGCAGGTGGGATCGGAATCTTCTACATTCTTACCGAGAATGAACGAAGGGAAACAAGACAAGAGGGTCAGGTCCTGTGTTCCAGCATCCCTCTTTGTACCAGCATTAGCTTGTAGGACTGCTCTAACCACAGTACACCATACTCTTAGTGCTCTGGAGGCTGAAGATGTCAACAGGGTGTCTCTTCAGGGGCTTGTCCATGGATTACAGATAGTTCTTATCTCTGTCTTCACATGTGTTTTCTGGCTGTCCTTATTTCCTTCTCTAATAAGCAGATACTAGCCAGACTGCTCTAGGCCCACCTTACTGACCCTATTTTAATTGCCTCTCAATTCAGTTATATTCTAGGGGACTAGCGGTTAGGACCTCACAGGAATTGGGGAGAGGGGGTGACATACCTTGTGTGTACACGCACGCATGGGTGTGCATGTGCACATGCACACGCATGCTGGTCCTGAAGCTTGAACTCAAGGCCTGGGTGCTGTCCTGAGCTTTCGAGCTCGAGGCTAGCCCTCTTACCACTTGAGCCACAGCTCAACATCTGGCTTTCTTGGTAGTTAATTGGCGATCAGAGTCTCAGACTTTCCTGCCCATGCTCGCTTTCAACTGTGATCCTTAGATCTCAGCCTGCCAAGTAGCTAGGACTACAGGCATGAGTCACCAGCACCTGGCAGTACATTATTTATAAAATTGCCCTTTTGTTTTTCTTTCCCAAATCTGCACACCTCTCTCGCAGGGCTGTTAAGACTTGGGTTTTCTGAAGATTCTGTACTTATCCAAGTCCTAGAAACTTGGACAACATTCCAGAATTTTTGCAGTATTTTCTACTAGGAATTCAGTGTGCTTTATTTTTGCATGTAACACACACACACACACACACACACACACACACACACACACACACACACACACACACACACAAAACGTTCCAGAATTTTTGCAGTCTTTTCTACTAGGAACTCAGTGTACTTTATTTTTGCATATAACACACACACACACTCTCTCTCTCTCTCTCTCTCCATGTACTTTGAAAATTTGTTGATAGTTTTTGTCTTTTTCTAATTAAGAAACAAGTGAAACGGCTCCAAAGGTTTGTGAGTTAGAGAAAGCAAGGGTTATCCATCCAGGTTATGTTGCCATTGTCCTGGGAGGGTCCAACTAGTGATGTGGTTTGTAAAGTAGTAGTTCCTAGCTTCCGTTTTTTTTTTTTTCCCTGAAGTGTTTGTGAATTAGTTTGGAATGCAGTATTGTTTCCAGAAAGGTATTTTTCATGGTGCTGCTGTCCAAGGTCACCTGACAAAATTGTTCTGAGAATGTAAATACATTCTTGTGCCAGTTTGGTGAAGCTGGTTGGGAATTCCAACATGTAACCCTGTTGGCACCACCCTTCCCTTTTCTACCTTGGGTGGAATCCTTCCCTCCACCCACAGCTCCAGCACTGGCCAGGCCATGGGAAAGGAAGGCCTGGACTCTTAGCTCCTAGTGTGACCTGCTGTGGGTGGAATGTCTGATACAGGATTAAGTGTAGATGTGAATGGATTGTGTGTAGCTGGTGCAGTTTACAGTAGGTAGAGCATATTGGATTAGCTGTCTCAGAGGCTATCAGGAATAAGTGTTAGGGAGAAATGTGCATTATGCCACATATGAGTTTTGTGTTGTATTGTGTGTACGCATGTGTGCCAGTTCTGGGACTTGAACTCACAGCCCGAGTTCTGTACTTGCACTTGTTTTTGCGTAAGGCTTGCACTCTACCACTAGAGCCACAGCTCTTTCCAGCTTTTCTAGTAGTTAACTGGAGATGTCTCTGACTTTCCTGCCTAGGCTGACTTTGAACTGCAATTCTCAGATCTTAGTCCCATGAGTAGCTAAGATGACAGGCATGAACCATTTGACACCTGGAGTTTCTAAGCCTTATTTTAACTTGTTTTCTATTGAATGCAGGAAGTCCCAGATCCCACAAAGTATTTTGTCACTCGGTGGAGCACAGAGCCATGGATCCAGATGGCTTACAGTTTTGTGAAGACATTTGGAAGTGGTGAGGCCTACGACATCATAGCCGAGGAAATACAAGGAACTATCTTTTTTGCTGGCGAGGTATTTATCTTGTATTTTGATCATTTTTTGTCTGAGACTTAATACTCAAACTTATCTGACTCTTATGTTCATTGGCAGGTGCCCCCCCTACCACCTGAGCCATGGCTCCAACCCCTTGTACTTTTAGTTCTTTAAAGTGATAACTTGTTTAAAAACCAGATTAAATACTGTTTTTCTTTGTTGACATTTAAGGCCTTCTCAATACTGAGTCTGCCTTCATATTCCCATCATTTTTAACTCTTCAAGCATCTTTTCTGGACTTGCTTTTCCATCTTAAAATCAGGTTTATATTTATCAGAATTACCTTTGTCCTGTCAAGGTCCTCTGCATTATTCTCCAACATGGCTATCTCGCACTGTTAAGATTAGAGTTATGTCCTATGTTTATGTTGCTTCTTGATGAGTCAGGGTTTTCATAGATCCCATTGTTGCACAGCTTCTTCTAGTTTTTTGGTAGTTGAAATGGTTCTTTTGATCCTTCGTTATTTCTCTGTATCTCCTTCCTTTCAGTGAACTCTCAATCAAGCATGTCATCTGGCTTGTTGGTTATAGCTTCTGGAGGCCCCTTTGTGCGGTCCCCTGCTCTGTTACTTTCCTTGATGTCTGTTGAAAAACTTCCTCATTCTGGTTTCTTTTTAAAATCATTAAGTAGTTGTACAAAGGACTTATTATTCAACTCCATTCTGATTTCTGATCCTGTGCCTTGTTTTGTTCCTTGTGATTTAGAATCATGTCTCTTGATAGAGTTTGCTTCTGCTCATTTTTTGGGGGGGAGAGGGGGGAAGGTCCGGTTGTGGGCCTGGGCCCTGTCCTTCAGCTATTCAGCTCAAGGCTAGGTTCTACCACTTGAGCCACAGCCCCACTTCCAGCTTTTTTTTCTGCTTATGTGGTGCTGAGGAATCGAACCCAGGGCCTCATGCATGCAAGGCAAGCGCTCTACCACTGAGCCATCTTCCCAGCCCAAATGTATTTTTTTTTTTGGCGGGGGGCGGGGGGGTCCGGTCGTGGGGCCTGAACTCTGGGCCTGGGTGCTGTCCCTCAGCTCTTCAGCTCAAGGCTAGCACTCTACCACTTGAGCCACAGCACCCCAGCCCAAATGTATTTTTTTTTTTGGCGGGGGGCGGGGGGGTCCGGTCGTGGGGCCTGAACTCTGGGCCTGGGTGCTGTCCCTCAGCTCTTCAGCTCAAGGCTAGCACTCTACCACTTGAGCCACAGCACCACTTCTGGCTTTTATTTTCTGCTTATGTGGTGCTGGGGAATTGAACCTAGGGCCTCATGCATGCAAGGCAGACGCTCTACCACTGAGCCACCTTCCCAGCCCCTGCTTCTGCTCACTTTCTTCCACTTTGTTCTTTATACCCCAACTTGGAACTCTTAGAACATCTTATCTAACACCTAACATTTTCTTCTATACTATTATCCATCTCTTTGTCCTTCTGTGGAAAACTTTAATTGCTCATCTCACCAAATAGCTTTTAAATTTTAGCCCTTTGAATGCTTTCTTCAGAATGTTTTAGCAGCAGCCTCTGGCTGTTTAACTGAAGCCACTGTTTAACTTGTTTAACTGAAGCCACTAAAGCTTTTCGAGCCTTTTGTTTTCTCTTCCCTTCCTGTCTTCCCCTTTGCCTGCTACATGTCTGAACACTGCCCCATCCTTAGATGTCAGCTTAGACATGAGTGAATCACTTCTTTAAAAGCCACTTGAATTTGCCTGTGATTCCTGCCTGTAATTCAGCTACTTGGGAGTCTTGAGGTTTGAGAACCACAGTTCAGAAGCCAGCCTGGGCAAAAAAAGTCTCTAATTAACCACCCAAAAGCCTGAGTCTGTGACTTATGTGGTAAAGTACTAGTCTTGAGCAGACAAAGTTAAGGAACAGAGCTCAGGCCCCGCACAAAAAGGGCACATGATGGTAGTTCTAGGAGAGTCCATCAGGGTCACAAATAGGATACAGAACCTTTTTTTGTATACCAGTTCTGGGGCTTGAACTCAGGGCCTGGGTACTGAGGTTTTTTGCTGAGGACCAGCACTCTAACACTTGAACCATAGCTCTCCTTCCAGCTTATTGGTGGTTAATTTGGATATGGGGTCTCAATTTTCCTACCTGGTCAGGGCTTTGAACTGAGATCCTTAGATCTCAGCCTCCTGAGTAGCTAGAATCACAGGCATGAGCCATCTGCACAGAGCTTTTAACTTTTTCCTTTGATAGTTACTACCTCATCTTCTAAAACCCATTTTCTGAGGCTTTTTAACACTGTCCACTGCCCTTATACTTAGTACCACACTACTTTGTGGGACTGCTAAATACATTGCAGAATTTGGCAAAGCAGAGATATTCAGGGGCTACTGTGATAATTTGACTTGTTACTGATGGCTGCCATCTTTATTTTAGGAGAATCTTAGTCTTAAGCTCATTTTGCCTTTGATTCACTTTGTTTACAATCTAACATGTAATTATTTTTTACAGGCAACAAATAGGCATTTCCCACAGACTGTTACTGGAGCATATTTGAGTGGTGTTCGAGAAGCAAGCAAGATTGCAGCCTTTTAAATAGAACTGGTCTGGACTCAGCTTCTGTGCCCCAAATGGGAACATGTGAAGTGCAGGTTAAACCTCTATTTCCTAAGGTGGGGAATGTTTCTCTGGATAGCGAAGTTGTAATGTTTCTAAGTGACATGATGAAAATGTCCTCACTTTACTACTCTGAAAGCACTGATTCTCCAAATCCTTCTGAGCACTTAGGTTTAATTGCATTTTCTATAGGTCCAACTAGTGCTAAAGTCTTCTGAATTTTGGAAGGCAGAATATAACCTTGAGTTGAGACCTTGGATTAGGATTCTTCCGTTTGGAGATGCCCTTCAGATTTGACATTTTGTTTAGCTGTTCAGTTTAAATCATTAGCAAGATAAAGCCATGTGTTTTTCCCTCTTTCACAGTTTATCAGTGTCTTTACCAATGAGCCTTACTACTTTTATACAGCTCCAACATCGAGCTTTTCTTAAAATTTCACTAGAATTTTCTTTTTGATACAACTCTGATGAAACTTCTAGACTACATCATATTGTATATACTTCTTCCAATTGGATATTCAAAGTATCTTGTGGCATTTTTAAATCCTTAAAATGGAAGCTTTCATTTCATTTGAGCATGTGGTATAAAATGTGGCCATCCTACTACAGGTAGAGCACATAGCTGTTCTTAAAGCCACTTGTCTTATACCATACTATAATTTTGGCAACTACTAGCAAAGAAAACTTGAATAATTTAACAACCTTCCCCCTTGTTTAAGTAAAGGTTTGTTTCTAGGAATACTATTTGCATAATCATGTCCAGTTCCTCCCAGGCAAGTCCACAGAACCATCCTTGTAAGCATTTTATAAGCCATATGAGCCTGAGAACATAGTATTTACTTTTTCCTTATTTAACAAAGAAAATATTGGTTTCAGGGTCTTCCAGATGCCTACTTTGCCAAGAAACCTGTTTACAGACTTTAATAATTCTTTAACAAGGGGGCTAAGATAACTTTAAAGCCACGTTTTCAAAATGTTAAGGTATTTTTGAAATTTAGAATTGCTTTTAAGCATAAAATCTTTATTGAATGCATGTATAGAAGTTTGATTATACTTCTCCCACCCCCAATCACAGTAAAATAGAAAGCCAGCCAAACAGCTGTGCATTTCTGAGTTAGCAGTTAGAGCATTGATAGCTAAGTGGTTTAGACTCATTGGTACTGATTAGGAAGTGTTCTGTATTAAAACGTTCAAATAACACATGTTTGAAATGGTTCACAATAAATTATTACTTGTTTTTGGGCACTTAAATTTAAATGTGAAGCCATGCTTCAAGTAGGAGAAAACCCAATAAAGGTGTATTTAATTTTCTTTCCTGTCTCAGTGACCTACTTGGACATTTTGTTCCTTAAGGAACCTATGTACTTTTGAGTTTCTCTAAATGTTTTTTGGTCTAAATGTTTTTTGGTGTTGTGAATTTTACAAACTGGGCAGTCGTGATATATACACCAGAAAGTGATATAAATAGTACTGAATAGCTGGGTATGTAAAACTGCTTAATAAAAACCAGACTTTTTCAAATGCTGTTTGCATGTGCACTTACTAAGTAGGTCCACCATCACCAAGAATTTCCCCACACCCCAATTCCTTCTCACACCTCCCAATGCCCATTAAATGGTCTGAAATGAAATGTTAACTAACTTTGAGCAGGGGTGGGGAACCTTTTCTGCCTATCACAAGTAGACAGGATGAGGGCAGCCAGTAAAGAAGCATGTCCCCATCTTATACCAAATGGCCTATGGCGTTAAGTTAACATCAAATATAAGATTTAAAACACCATTGGTGGGCTGGGAAGTTGGCTCAGTGGTAGAGCGCTTGCCTTGCATGCCTGAGGCCCTGGGTTCAATTCCTCAGCACCACATATGAAAAAAGCCGGAAGTGGTGCTGTGGCTCAAGTGGTAGAGCGCTAGCCTTGAGCTGAAGAGCTGAGGGACAGCACCTAGGCCCAGAGTTCAGGCCTCACACCCGGACCCCCGCCCCCCCAAAAAAAACACCATTGGTTTTTATTAACAAGGTTTATTCAATTAAAATAAAAGGCCAATTTTTAGGGCTGTTGTTTATTCTGTTCACTTTGTTTTAATCAAGTATACCTTTCCCTAATATCATATATATGTGTCTATGAAATATACTTTTCATGTAGTTCTTATGTAAATGTTTTTAAGCATTCAAATTTTACATCAAATATTTGTCATAAGCAGCATATTAAAATTTAAAGAGTAACTTAAAACACAAAATTCTTTTAAATTTGGGGTAGTCCATATTTTTCACTTAGAATCCTGATTGGCTGAAATTTAAAACCTGTTACCAGCCTTTGCGTTAACAGCCCTGATTCCACAAATAGTAAATTTCTCCATTAAAAATATTAAAAACTTGAGAAATACTATTGTCCATACATTTTCTGGCGTTACACCTGGTACTTTTATCATAATTACAAAGGTGGTCAAAAGCAGTTAAAAATCAGTTCACTTACTATAAGCTAAATGTGTATACTTAATCCTACTCTTTCCCAAGTTTTTGTGTTGATTTTGGTCTGACAATATAAAACATAGGACACTTTTGTACGTACTTAATGACACTTTCAAGGGCAAAGCAGAACTAGAGAGCTTGAGCGTTCTAGTCACTGAACTCTGCCCTCCACTGCTCCATCATACCATCTGGCTGAACACTGACATTTCATAGTTTAATACAAGTGCAAAGATACCTACCTACATGAGTTTAAAAATTGATCTGCACAAAAGAAATAAAAAAAAGTTATATACAACAAATTGGATTTGAAAAATACAAAAATATTTCTGTCATGCTGACAATTTCATATATATACACATGCAGAAGTTCCAACTCAGTTTTCTGGAGTCATTGCTTGTGTGATTTAATATGAACACACTGTCACTAAGTTTCCACGCTGACAGACGAGGTGTATTCAAAGTATTTCCTATACTAAATACTGCAACAGTCTCTGCATGTATAAATGCCAGTTATACTAACCTTTGTTCTACGTGATTAAAAGTTACGTCTTAAGCAAGCCAACGTTAGTGCACTAAAACCCACAACGGTTCAGCAATCTATAACCTTATATAGAGAAATCCAAAATGTACAAAATACAGCTATAAAAGCAAGGAACAATTAATGCCATGCAAGATTTTAGACTAAAAACTGCATAGAAATGCAATTCAAAACAGCAAACTCAAATATATGTAACAATAAAAAGGTCAACACATTTTACAAGGATTTAGAAAAGGAGATACATTCTCTTTGCTGGTATAATAGTATATAAATCAGATCTTCAAATCTAAAGGAACAAGTCAGCTGTCCTCAAGAAATTAGCTGTAACGAAAAAGAAACACTATTTTACCATATACAGCATTTTACCATATACAGCAAATACTATCAAGTACACATAAACCCTAAAAGCTTATTCCCTTTCTTTACATCTTACTACTGGCCTTGGGAAATCAGCTGGGATTACACAGAACTATAGCTACTGCTGGTCAGGAAGTGGCCCTCAAGCTGTTGCCTGCCTAAGGAGATACCAACTCACCAGGTACCCAATCTAATCTGCGCTCAGTTTCTGTCACTGACTCTGAGCTTTACTAAATGTATCTCCACGTTTAATATTAACAAAATCTTAGGATCAGATATAGTACTTTGAAAATATAGTTAAGATGCATTATTTTTGTTTTCTACATCCAAAATAAATATGCTAGGAAAACAAATACCTCTTTTACAGTTGTTTTAATGAAGTCTTTTCTCTCAGTTAAATCATAAGCAGGATAATTTTCATATACCTATAGTAGAAGAAATATTAAAAATTCATTTAAAAATCATATTCAAGAGTTAAAAAAATATTCTGTAATCAATTAGAAGGCCTTTACAAAAGCATCAATTAAGAACTTCCTGAATAACAGCTACCCTATTACCAAGAGGAAAGGTGCTCTCTCTCTCTCTATATATATATAATCTAAGGATGCATCAACAACTTTTCAGATTAGACCAGGTACCCATGGCTTGAGCTTGCAGTCTTAACTACCCAAGAGGCTAAAGGTTGTTTGGATCAGTTTCAGGCCAGCCAAGACACTTTTTCATCTGTTACCTAGTTATCACGAAGCCAAAGTAGCCAGACACTGATGGCTATTTGGGAGGCTGAGATCTGAAGATCCCAGTTCAGAGCCTACCTGGGCAGGAAAGTCTGATATTCTTCTCTCCAAGTAATCACCAATAAACCAGAAATGGAGCTGTGGTGAGCCTTGAGCCAAAAGAGCTCAGGGACAGTGCCCTGGCTGAGTTCAAGCCCTACCACCCCCCTAAAAAGGCCTAAAGTAACTGGCTCTTGCCCAGATGCATGCTTGGACAGTAAGCAAGATCCTATCTGTAGAAAAAAAATGTGAAGAGCTAGATACTAGTAGCTCATGCCTGTAATCTAATCAGGAGGTTGAGATCTGAGGATAGTCCAAAGCCTGCCCAGGCAGGAGAGTCCATGAGATTCTTATCCCCAGTTAACCAGCAAAATGCAGAAGTTGGGCTATGAAGAGTACCTGTCTGTTGTGCAAGAACAAGTTTCCAGATCTAAAAAAAAAAGATTCCTATGGAGTTTGAAATACATGAGTTTAAATTATGTTCATCCCGACTTTATTAAATCTAATGTTCATAAAAGAATTCCATTAAGTTGAGACTAGCAACTGTAAGAGTGACTTGACATGTAGTAGTTCAGCAAATATTTAATGAATACACAAAATGTAGTGTCATATGAAAGAATGGGTGAAAAACTTCCAAGGCAAAATAATACTATCTAAACATTTAATTACCTCTTTACAAATTTGCTTCATTGTGACTTCTTCCAAGTTAGCATTGGCCAATAATTTCTTGACTGTTTCCTTTAGCTCTTCATCTGTAGGTGGTTTCTTCAATTTTTTAATTAAAGGTTCATCATCTGAACTATCCTCAGATTCACTTTCTAAAAGGTATTAAATGTGAATAAAAATTTTTCTTACATAGCAAAAACTAAGAACATAAACTCTTATTCTCAAGTGAATATTAAGATACTACTCCCCATTATAAATCACTATTTAAAATAACTTTAAAAACAAATTTCCCAAAACATGCATTGAAAAATAGATTACTTCGAAGGATTTTTAAAATCTGGCATGCTTCCATTCAATGTTCTTGAAATTCACTGCTTCCGCACGTATTTAAACATATATATATATATATATATATATATATCTTAAACTGCTGATGTATTTTTCGCAATACTGGTATTGGAACTCAGGCCCTTATGTTTGCTAAGCAAACTGAGTCTCACTCCAGCCCAGCAAGTATCACAACTAACATACCTTTCTTCGAACTGTTTTGATTCTTCTTAGTAGTGCTGCTATCTGCCTTCTTAACATTAGCACTTTTCACAGACTTTTTACTTTTAGATGTAGCTTTTGGTTTAGGTTTTTCTCTTTTAGAGGTCTTTTTTGGTGGCTGCTGAAAAAGAAAGGATTGATGAGATGTATTTTTATTTATCTACTTCTATGCCTCTCAATATTAGGGAAATTGAATACTGAATTTGCAACCCTCCTGCCTCAGCCTCTAGAGATGGCATTACAGGCACGTAACACCACCACACCCACCTTAACTTTTGTGTGTATGTGCCAGTACTGGGCTTGCACTCTAGGCCTGGGCACTGTCCCCGAGCTCTTTTGTTGAAGAGTAGTACTCTACCATTTGAGCCATACCTCTAATTTCAGCTTTTTGTGGTTAAGTGGAGATTAGAGTCTCTTGGACTTTCCTGACAGGGCTGGCTTTCAACTGCGATCCTCAGATCTTAGCCTCCTGAGGTGCTAGAATTACAAGTGTGAGCCACTAACACTTTATTTTTTAAGTACAAGTCCTTTAGACTGAAACATAGACTCATTTTTTCTAAAAATTAGATGAGCTCAGAATCTCTTAAAATGGACAACTAACGTGTTATCTAGTAACAAAATTTCTAAAACACTGCCAATATACAGCACAAACATTACAGAATAGGATGTATCACAGTTTATGGAGGCCAGCTGTCCACTTTCAATATCCAGCCTCAGTACATCTCTAGGCTGTATTTTCCTGATTTGTGAAATAAGGGGCACAGAAGCATAGTTCTAATGGAAAGGAAATGAACTAGTGAGTGGAAATGCTTTTACTAATGCCCTGCACATTGCACACATTCAATATTAGCTATTGTTTCTGTTGGTGCTTCCTTTTGTAGTGAAAAAAAAAAACCCCATTTTACTACTCAAATGTTAACTTCACCCTAGTAATTTGAAGTTTGAAAATATTCTTTAAAAAGCAGGACATACACGAGATCCTACATTCACTAACCATGATACATCATGCTTACTCATTACATTATGTTAAATATGACCTTAACCTACAGATATATGGATCGCTATAAGAACAAGTTAACAGTGGGTGCCAATGGCTCACATCTGTAACTCTAACTACTCGGTAGGCTGAGATCTAAGGATCACAGTTCAAAGCCAGCCTGGACAGGAAAGTCTTGTGAGACTTGTATTTCCAATTAACCCACCACAAGTGTTAGTGGAGCTGTGGCTCAAGTGGTAGAGCACTAGCCTTGAGCTGAAGAGCTGAAGCACAGGCCGAGTTCAAGCCCCATGACTGACAAAAAAAAAAAAAAAAAACTAATGCAATAGTTAAATTTTTGTGACAAACTTAAGGTATTGGTTTCAATTGATTAGTGATGACTTGGGAAATAATGTAAATTGAACAGAAAAAACAAACTGTCACTGAAAAGAGTATCATCTAAGCAGAAGATAACTGAACTCACATCTTACACTGTGGTTCTTCTGCAGCTATTAAGAATCATAATCTCCGTGAAATGTGATTCTTAAGTATAGGCAACTTTGGAAACTGAGGCATCTCAAAGATGTAAGTACTTAGGTACGAGACATGTATTAGTAAAGGCAGACATGGGCCATCAGTTGTAGTAGGTAACAGAAAAGGCAAGTTAAACCATACCCAGTTTCATTTCTTCTGTTGATGAAAATATTGCTTGTGATCCTAAACCAAGCTCCAAAATCACTTCTAAAGCTTTTACAATACCAACTTGATGACTCCATACTCCATGGTTCACCATTTTGTGGAAGAGATTGTCATGCAGTAAAAATACACGTGGGCTTCACAAACAAGTGATCAGAACCCAACACCTCACTAATTCTGCATTTTCAAGCATATCATACAGCCTTCTCCTTGCCAGCTTCTTGCTCTAAATCTGGGGGTAACAATGGCATCTCTCTGAATACTCTCCTCTATTATTTACATCTCTCTGGCATTAAGGCACATTTTATTATTTATGTAAAAAATGCCTTACGGGATACACAGCAGCACAAGTCCAGCTGGTGTGCCCCAGGCTGGGGACTGGGAAGCCAGAACCAGGCCTGGGGATCTGGTGCCTGAGCAACACAATCAACTCCTGAAGCTGAGCAGAGGGGGGGAAAACAGGGAACTGCACCCCCTATGAAACACACCCATGACAGCAAAAGATCTGGGTGTCCAGGGCAAGAGACCTAGAAACCCAAACCCCACCAGAACCCGACCTATATTCCAGGCCGGGAATTGGACAACTCGGGCCACCTGCACCTGGTAATAGTCAGGAGTTCAGGCTGGTAAGTGGCTCAGCGGTAGTGCTTGCCTTGTGTGCTTGAGGCCCTGGATCTGATTCCTCAGCACCACATAAGCAGAACGGGCCAGAAGTGGCGCTGTGGCTCAAATAGTAGGGCGCTAGCCTTGAGCTGAAGAGCTGAGGAACAGCACCCAGGCCCAAAGTTCAGGTCCACAACTGGCCAAAAAAACAAAAACCAAAAAAACCCATCAGGAGCCCATAGCAGACTCCAGCAACTGGGAGAATACATCCAGCACACTCGATCTCGCCAAAAGCACCTGTAGGAGTAAACAGGAGCAGTCCTTCTAAAGGCGGGAACGGCCAGTGATCTACAGCAGAGAGCCGAGAGCCCTATGTGGGTCAGACCAGCAGCTGGAGGTTGACCCCCAACAGAACCGAGACCAGGTACAGACTCACTCCACCGGCCCAGAAACAGCAATCAAGCAGAGACAGACACTTATTGACCAAAACAAAATTTCAGATTAGTCTCCAATAATCCCTGAATCCCCATGCAAAAATCAGAGAAAAATTACAAGGTTTATCAACACCCAGGATAGCAAGCTACCCCCAAAAGCCAGCAGCCACCCAGGGGAGAGCCCCAGTGGGAGCAAAGCAGGAATGGAGGACAAAAGCTACATCGAAGAGATGCTGGAGGCAATGACTCAAGAATTAAAGTGAGAAACCAGAAATTTAAAAAGAACACAGGGACGAACTATCCAAAGAGATGCAGGGTGTCAAACAGGAGGTGCATGCAAAAATAGAGGCAGTACACATCTCACTAAGAGGTGAGATTAGTACAAAAATAAAGGCAGTACATACCTCACTAAAAGGTGAGATTAGTACTTTGAGAACCAACATTGAATCCATAAATGAGTCCATTTCCTCCATGCAAACCACAATGGAAGCCACAGTTAACAGAGTGAACGAAATGGAATTTAGAATGTCAGATACAGAAGACAGAATACACCAACTGGACCAAAAAAAAAAAAATCACAGGTATGGAAAAATCACTTAAATTATTCCAAAGGGAAATCCAAGAGCAAGTGGATAGTGCCAAGAAATTTAACCTTGGTGTAATTGGAGTGGACGAAGGTGAGGAATATCAAAGCAAGGGAATGCAACACCTATTCAAGATTATCAATGTATATTTCTCCCATCTTAAAAAAAAATCTTACCTCTCTAACAGAAACATACAGAACACATAAGAAGCAGGATCCCAGGAGAAACACTTCTAGACACATAGTAAAAATAATAGATGTGAATAATAAGGAAACAATCTTGCATGCAGCAAAAATGAGCTATACTACAATGGGAAAAAAATTAGCATCACTGCAGATCTCCACACAGACACTGAATGCAAGAAAGGCCTGGGAAAATACCATCCGAGTCCTGAGAACCAATAACTGCCAGGCCAGACTGATATACACAGCAAAGCTAGTGTTCACATTTGATGGAGAATTGAAAATTATTTTTTCAATTCTAAAAAGACTGACCTTTATTTTCACTACAATCCCAATCAAAAGTTTTTTTTTATTGTGAAAATACTGGAGAATTGAAAATTTTTAATAGTACAGAAAAACTAAATGAATTCATAAACAATAGCCAGCATTACAAAGAATACTAAGAGGGGGAACACAACCTGAAGAAAGTAACCAGGAACAGGGACTGCACCAGACAGGTATTAATAGAAATCTAACTTAGTAATAAGCATAGGAGGAAAGGAAAGAAGAAAAACTTAGGAAAACAGGGAATGACAGAGACCACAATGCATCTCTCTATAAGATCCTTAAATATTAATGGTCTTAATTCACCAATCAAAAGAAAAAGAACTGCAGACTGGATCAGAAAACATGCTCCATCCATCTGTTGCCTTCAGGAGACCCACCTCTCAGCCAAACATACAAACAAACTCAGAGTGAAGGGGTGGAAAAGGATCTGCCAATCAAATGCCCCCAGTAAGAAAGCAGGTGTAGCTATCCTGGTATCTGACAAAATAAACTTTTCATTAAAATCAATACAAAAAGACAAGGAAGGACACTACATTATTAACACAGCGAACAATCCAAGAGGAGGACATTACCGTTATCAACTTATACTCCCCAAACATTGGAGCACCCAAATATGTTAAGGAAATACGCTCAAACCTACAGAATAAAATAGATCCCAATACGATAATACTAGGAGACTTTAACACTCTCCAAAGGACAGGTCTACCAACCAGAGGATTGGCAAAGAAGCTATCGAATTAAGTGAGGCCTTACTTCAAGTGGAACTAACTGACATGTACTGAGTATTTCACCCTAAACACAGTACACATTCTTCTCAGAGCTCATGGACCTTTCTCCAAAATAGACCATATCATAGTTCATGCAAGGAACTTAAGCAAATACAAGGGGATTGACGTAATCCCATGTCCTATCTGACCACAGTGGAATCAAGCTACTTCTCATACTGCAGAAATTACTCAAATACATGGAAATTGAACGGCACACTTCTAAGCAACACCTGAGTAACAGAAGAAATTAAAAAGTTCCTACAATTCAATGAAAATGAGGACACATCATAAAGAAACTTGTGGGACACAGCAAAAGCAGTCCTGAGAGACAAATTTATCACCCTCAGTGCCCACATCAAGAAAATAGAGACAGACCAAGTAAATAATCTCACGTTGCAATTAAAGCAGCCAGAAAAACATGAAAACACGAAACCTAAAGTTACTAGGCGAAGCCAGATAATCAAATTAGGAGCAGAATGATAGAAAATAGGAAAATTATAAATAAAATTAATAAAAAAGCTGGTTCTTTGAAAAAATAAGTAAAATTGATAT